CACAATTTTGTCTGTGATTTTCTTCAACAGCGCGATTTACTCCCGGAGAGGACAACACATGAAGAGACTGAAACAACTTATAAACAAACGCTGGAGGGATCCTCGCGGTTCAAAGGACAATGAGCTCTACAATACAAGAAAGAACGTACGTCAATAATACAACATGAACACGGATACATTGTTATGTTTTATATCGCTGTGCAGCAACTATCCCAGTTATACTACGCCGGTATTTTTCCTTTGAACGTTTATTAAGAAATTAATTAATAAAATCTTCCTTTTGCCACTATATTGCTATTTTCATGTCTCTAACTATACAAGCTGTTAACTAGTTATGATATTAGTAAAAATAGAAAGTTTTGTGTTAATATTAGTAAAAAACAGGGATTTAAAAGGGGAGGGTAGTTGTCAAAAGCCTTGTAGGGCACAATTTGGGATTAGAACACAAAGTGCAATTAACAGCTTTTAAATTATCAGGTAAGTGCAAAAAGTTTCGGGCTCAGCAAGACCAGTGCCAACTGGCTACTTGCCCCAGGGTGCTGGAGGGCAATGAGAATGCTTGTCACTTGACTTATGGTTGCCCAAAGCCTAACCCAACTGTAACCCTAACCCTAAACTGTAATCCTAACATCAAAATACTGGAAAAAGGTCAATGGATTTCTGAAACCCCAACCCTAACCATTGGGATAAGTCGAGACTCGCCATAGCTGTCTCCTGAGGGTGTCAAATACCTTAGTCAGGTGATTTTAATTTTTTTCATTAAAATACCAAAACAGCATACTGTACTTGGTATGTAGTAACAGTGCCATTCACGAGGTTACTAATTACTTGTAAGCGGTCCTTGTGACCTCGATACCGAATAAACGCGGGGGCCCCGATTAAACGCCCCCGGCGTTTAATTAAAAATCGGAAGTTTTGACCCGGCGTTTTTTCGAGGCCGGCTTTTAATCGAGAAAATACGGTACTTTGCTTAGTCTGCTTAAAAGAAGTCAGATTTGTTTATATTATTGCAAATAAAAATTGTAATACATTAAATCCTCATGACTAAGAACCTGGATTTTTTATGAAAAATAGGCTGAATTGTCTCTCTGTCTTGCACACTCTATTGTGAACAGTAATATCACTGACCAAACAAAATTGTGTATGTTAAACTAACTGTCATAAAACGGGAATACATAAGATAGTGAAAAGTTGCATTGTCACAATGAGCGATGATCTTGTCCACACTGGAATGGAGCATCCATTTACAGTATGCAATAGGGAAGTGTTCTCAACAGCATGACATTTGAACCTTTGAAGCCTTCTTCTTTTGCACAAGTTTTTAAATTACAGAAAGCATCATGGTCTGAAACTGCTGCAACTGCCTCTGCTGGGCCGCCAACTGGAGCTGCTGCTGCTGTATTGCTGCTTCCTGCCGTGCTTCCTGCAGCCTTAGCTCTTCCCTCCTCAACTCCATCTCTTCACGCTTAATTGCATCCATTCTTTCATTACGCTCTTTCAGATATTCAAGTGTGTCAGCCTCAGAGGACCATCTCCTTTTCAGCCCCTCGTTGTTTTCAGGCCTATCCTCTCCTCGCCTTTTGTTTGCCCCTAGGCCCTCCATGGCTCTTTTTCTGACTTCTTCAGCATTTCTCTCCTCCTCCTTGGTCTTCTTCTTCTGGGCTGCTGTTTGCTTCTGTTCAAGGTCAGTAGCATCCTCCCACTCAACAGTTACCTCCAACCCCTTCTCCAATTCTGTCAGTTCTG